CGAGAGTGCCCTGCAGGAGCGCGGGACCCGGGGAGAGCGCCGGCCCTCTCCACGCCCGGGGAGGAAAGGCGCCCGTTTCCCGGGGTGTCGCGGGCCTCGGTTTTCTCATCTTTAGAATGGATCCGTGGTTCCCATTCTGGGTGCGTCCGTGAGGAAGAGACCAGGCTGTGGTGACGAGCGCTTCTCACCCTCTAGGTGTGGTGCCGCCTTCCGCCTCCAGGTGCGGTGGAGTTTTGCTAGCGCCGTCAGGGCAGACCCAGGGCAGCGTGTTTAGGAAGCTGTTCCTGAACAACCCCGACCCCGGTGGGCCAGGGAGAGCACGGGAGTCCTGTCGGCCTGGGCTGCAGGAGGGCCCGGCCCTGGGGTGCCAGGCAGCGTGACTGCTCACCCTCTAGGTGTGGTGCCGCCTTCCGCCTCCAGGTGCGGTGGAGTTTTGCTAGCGCCGTCAGGGCAGACCCAGGGCAGCGTGTTTAGGAAGCTGTTCCTGAACAACCCCGACCCCGGTGGGCCAGGGAGAGCACGGGAGTCCTGTCGGCCTGGGCTGCAGGAGGGCCCGGCCCTGGGGTGCCAGGCAGCGTGACTGCTGACTGAGTGGTGGCTGCCCTGGCTCTTGAACAGCCGCAGGAGAGTTTCTGATTAACTTCTTTCTTCGGAAATAGCTTTTGTTTTCCTCTGTACCGTGGTACAGTGCGCAGAGGTGTGCGTCACCACCTCCCACCTCCACTTCCGGCGCGGTCTGGGGTGGGCGGTACCGGGAAGCCCCGCCCTATCTTCCCCCCTCCGGCTCCTCCTCTCCTCTCAGCCCCCTCGGCGTTCATGACCAGCGCTCCACTTCCATCTCCGTGACTGACCCTCTGTGAACGTCATCGGCTGGAGACGCTGTGTCTGCCCTCCCTCAGTGGCTCGTGTGATTCAGCACAACGTCCTCGAGGATCGCGGTGCTGTAACAGGTGTCAGAGCTGCTCTCCTTTTCGAGCTGAACAGTACTCCGTGCCTGTCGTGAGTAGTGCTGTGAACATGGGCGTACAGATGTGTACGCAGACCTTGCCGTTCTTCTGAGTGTGTGCTGGGAAGGGGACTGCAGGATCCCATGATAATTCTGCGCACCCTTTTGAGAATGCGCTTGCACGGCCCCTGCCTCGTTCTGCCTCCCCACTCACTGTGTGCGGGTTTGCTTCTCTGCGGGCTGGTGCGCCCGTGACGGCTGCAGCAGTGGAGGTCTGTGCACAGTGGCGCTGCCGTGTCCCCTGAGCTTGAACTTGGCCACGTGACGGCAGCGGGTGGGCGGCCGGGTGGGCCCTGCCGGCTTCCCAGGGGCTTCTTACATCCCCCTGCTGAGGTCCTGGGCCGCCTGGGCTGCAGCCAGAGAAAAGCGGGGAAGGGTGAGGTGGCAGGGGTGGCCTAGCGGGAGCTGAGCCAGGCAGGTGATGAGGAGGGGAGGCCGAGAGCAGCGCGGGCCTGGCTCCGCCCTGTGGGCTCTAAGCAACCTCAGTTTCCTCCTTGTGGGCGGCTTCCGGCTGAGATGGCCAGGCCTTCGTCTGCCCCTCGGTGCCCAGCCTGGCAGCTGTGGGCAGTCTGGGCCGCCGGTCATCACAGAAGACTGACGGGCGCCTCGCGACTGGGCAGTTGGGTGCTGTGCTGTGCCCGCCACCCTCTTTCCCTACTACCAGGGCTTGTGCTGCAGCCCGGGCCACAGCCACACTGGGCTCAGGAATGTGCACGCCATCCCAAGAAGAGACCGAGGAGAAGTGGGTCCCTGGCCAGCACAGCATCGCCCTCTTGTTCTGCCTGATCCTTGTTACTCCGGGCTCTTCCTCGGCAGAGAGACACAGACAGCATCCAGGCAGAATGCATGCGAGGTCATTTCACACCGTGATGAATGCAGTGGAGGGAATAAAGTAGTTATGAGAGGATGACAGAAGACAGTCGGAAGTGGCCCCTTCCACACAGGAAGTCCTGGCTGGCGCACAGGAAATAACAGCAGAGCTGCAACTTGACTGACAATGGGATGACTGGGAAGAAGTGGCATAGAGGCTTCCGGGTGAGGCAACAGGTGGTGCAAAGGCCCCGAGGCAGGATTGAGGTCAGCTTGTTTAAAGACATGGAAAAAACAAAAAGGCTGGATGGTGAGCAAGGGACTCAGGGGAGAAGAGACCGAGGTAGATAAGCCAACAGGTTGGAGTGAAGACAAAGCCGGTCTCTGTGGCCTTCTGGATGTGAGAGGGATCACGAGGTGCTGCTTCCCTCCTGCAGAAACAGCGGGATGTTTATCCCCTTTCCCTGGTCAGTCCACCCTCCTTCACCCCAGACCCAATTCTCAGTGTTGCTGAGTGCTCCCTGCGAGTATTTAGGCCCCACAACTCCTTCCCTGCCAGGCCCTGTCTCCTGCATTTCCTCCTTCAACCCAGAAAAGTAGCATTTTTAATTTATTAGAGTAGTCTCTATTTAACCCAGAGGATGTATTATTTATGCTGCGAACTGGGAATAAGTCCTGTAGGTGTGCGTCTCATTTTGGCGGACAGTGTCACGCTGCCTTTCCCGCTGGCTGTCTCTGTGACGGGTCCATGTAGCAGACTCCTTTCCCTCGCAGAGGTCCCATGTGACACCACCACCTCAGCCTGTCACCACCCACGAGTGTTTCCTTAACTGAGTTTCCAGAAGTGGGCCCCTGGGTCCGCACCACAGTTCACGTTTAGGGCTCCACCCCAGAGGGTCCATTAGGGTCTCCCCTCCTGAGCCCCCTTGAGCAGAGGCCTGCCTCTGACCCCCTCACTGTCAACTCCTTTGTAGCTGTGGCAATTTGCTAGTTACAGCTGGGATATTTGTGTGTGGTAAGTTGAATTTATTGGATAATAACGACTACATTTTTGGATATACATATATTTAAATCTGAGATTTTTTTTTTTTTTTTTTTTTTT